TCTCATGCACAAACACTGAACTGCTTAGTTGCTGTGAAAATATACTAAAAAGGAGTTCATGCTTGCATGTAGTTAGTATATGCCGTTATCAAGTCGGCTCCAACTCCGACAAAATGAATGAGTGATGTCCACTCACTCTTGAGTATACAAGATGACTATACAACATGCTAGTAGAGTCATAGATTATCTCTAGAAACTTCAGGTGTCTAGAGAATCCAGTGAAATTAATTTGTTTTCCTTGTGTATGCTGTTAGTTTCTTTTGAAAAGTATACTTTGTCCATTCAAAGCTTAATGTTTCAAAAAGGGATATTGCCTCCACTAAAAATCTTATAAATTTACTTACCTATCATATTCTCTTATTAACTTGTTAGTAAATCAATAAAAATTTTCCAACGCTCAGAGTTGAACTCAAATCTTTCTACTATTACATGAAATAAAGTACCAGCTATTCTCCCTCTGCTTCCCCCTGCATCCCAATAAGATGACATATTTTCAAAAGATTCATTCTTCGCCCTCTTCAAAGACAGAAGAGTGAGTGTGGTGGATGAGCCAAATGCCTCTGCTCCTCTGCCCTGGTCCCTTGGAGCCCAAACCCTGGCTGTTTTCTTTCAATATCATAGAATTTCCCTTGCAGTGAGTCACTTCTATTTAAAGATCCTTCCTTAGCCAATAGACATGAAAAAATGCTTCATGTCACTGATAGTCAGATGTAGGACTGCAAAAGAGCTGGTGGAGCATATGTTTTCTCATCAGGAGGGCTGCAGTGACCTAGGTGAGGTTCAGGCCCAGCCACAGCAAGAAATACACTTGGCTGCTGAGTGTGAGACTGGCATGGGTGTGCACCGCCTCCATTCAGAGAAGCGAGTGCATGTCTGCACACTCAACTTTACACCCTGCTGGTCAAGCTAGCTCTTTAGGGGAGTGTAACTGGTTCCCATTCTCACTGCAGCTGGGGCCCATGGATTATAAATCATAAAATACACAATCTCTGTATTACAGTATAAATCGTATCAAAAATAACTTATCTGTTTAGGCTTATCAGGATGTTCTCCTTACAGTGCACACAAACTTACAAGTAGGCAAGATTCATCATTTATCATTAGTTCAGGACTCAGTTTGGATAAGAAGTTTAGTTCAGGGTCAAGGCGTAGTTTCCACGGCTCCCGTGTATGGGAAGGGAATTGGATGGTGTGGGGACAGGGTGTTTAACTATTCCATTCATTCCTTTCTTTGAAGGCAAACCCAGGTGTGGAGATTAGGTCTCTGGCTTCTGGCCCAGAGCACTTTCTACAATTCTACGAACGCCTAAGGTGAGAAGATGCTGAGAGAGACAGCTTCCTTCTCTGAACTGTAACTGTGTCTCACTGAAGGTCTTTGCATATCAAAACTTTCTCTTTTCTACCTGTGGTGGTGGGGACCGGAAATGTGCTATTCCTCACTAAAAGTCAGAGAGAAGAGGAAGAGAATACAGATAAGGCCGGTAGAGGGAAGGCTCTGAGGATTGCAAGAATGTAGGAACCAGGAGAAACATGACTTGTCATGCTTCTGTTCCCAGCACAGCCTCAGGGGATGTTGGGAGGTGCTAGGCAAAGCTTTCCCCTCCATCCCCAAACCTTTTGGCTTTCTTACTTTCCTCTCACATACACCAGTCTTGAGCACTCCTCCTGCCCCTCTTGAAGCTCACATTCTGATACTAGAAGGCAAAAACAAAACCAATTATCACATTTACTATACATTGAAATATAGAGTATAAAAATAAATTAGGATAAGGGGTCAAAAGATGACAGAGGGGAAGAGGGTAATGTTATAGAAAGTTGTCAGGGCCCTAGCTGGTTTGGCTCAGTGGATAGAGAGTCAGGGCCCTAGCTGGTTTGGCTCAGTGGATAGAGAGTTAGCCTACAGACTGAAAGGTCCCAGGTTCGATTCTGGTCAAGGGCATGTACCTTGGTTCCAGGCTCCTCCCTGCCCAGGCACTGGTCAGCGGGAGTGCAGGAGGCAACCAATCAATGTGTTAATCTCACATCAATATTCCGCTCTGTCTTTCCCTCTCTCTTCCACTCTCTCTAAAAATTAATGGAAAAATATCCTCAGGAGAGGATTAAAAAAAGAAAAAAAGTTGACAGGGAAGGCCTCGCTGTAAACCTGTTATTTATCAGAGATCTGAATAAAGAAGGGAGAGTCAGCCTCATTCTTGTGGTGGAGAGTCCCAGACCGAGGAAGCCCTCCAGGAAGTGCTGAAGATGTTCACTGGGGCGAATGAAGAAAATACTTGAAACTCCATTTACATTTTATTCTGAAAAATAGGAAATGAAGTGTGTCTGACATTTAATATATTAATTCTGAACGAAAAAATATTTTTAAATAAGGATAAACAGGGTGAATGCTCAATTTATCAAAAATTATAGGGGTGGGAAATGAAAAGTCCAGAGATTAGTGTTGCCTAAAGCATGATTTTTAGAAAGGGAAGGGTAGATTTTTATCCATGTCTGTATCTTCAGACCCCATCATATTATCTAGGGGAAAATAGGTATGAATATCCTGTGTGCATATCTTTTTTATCTCCTCTACTTTACAGCAGAAACCTATTCTTTTGTGTTTTTTATAGCAGCTAGCTAGACCCATGCCTTGCAGATTGGTCCCTCATAATGAATAGCTGAATGGATAGACACAATAAAAGTCTTAGGACTTTGGTGGCTGACATGAGTAAAAATCACCCAAGGACTGCTCTTGGGCAGTTTATTTACCTTGTTTCCTAATCTGTGAAACAGGAAATGAGTGAAATAGAAAGTGGATGAAATGAGACAATCCTATGAATTGGCATTTGGTGGACAGTCTCACAAGTAATCTTCCTCTAGTCTCTTCACACCCGCTCCCACGCAGCACTGGAAATTACAAATACCAGGCTGGCCTTTACAAAAACTCCAAGGACACAGATTGACAAACACACAAGTTGTGCCAGAGACAGTTGAGTTGGGCCTTAACTGAGAGGAGGGTAAATTGGGGGGGATGGGGAGGGGTGGGGGTGAGAGTGGGGAGGTTGAGTTAACATAAGCTAGAGCAACTTTGGAATAACGTGTGCACCTTCAGGGAGCACATGACGCAGCATCTCCCATTCACAACCTATCCAATTCCACGCCACAAAATACATTACCCTAAAGTGGTGGGAAACCTTGGGCACCAAAGAATCAGAGTGGGCAAACCGACACCGTGCTGCTATTGGCCATCATGAGTGTCAATCCTCATGTCGCTTTCCCCCCCTCCTTGTAGTGTCCGGTTCCATCAGGCTTATCCTCTGTCGCCATCTGCAGGCCAGAGGCAGAACTCCATCCTTCCTGAAGAAGCTTCTGGCCCTGGGGAATGCTGCTGGCCTAGGGCTGGGCGTGGTTCTTAAGGCTCTATTGCAAGTGCAGGGTGGTCTTGAAGGTGCACATTAGAGAGCCAAGGCGATGGGGGGCGTGCCGGGGGTAGGGGGGGCGGGAAGGAGTGTCACAGAGGAATGGATGGGGGCAGCGGGGAGCGGGGAGCAGGGCTACAAGGAAGCAGGGCCAAGAAGTAGGCTGGGGTGGTGGAGGCTGATTGGAATAATAGAGGAGAAAGCAATGTCACCATGCCTGGCTGCTTGGGTTTAATCCTGACTCTGCTAATAGCTGTGTGTCTTGAGGCCAATTGCTTGACATCTCTATGATCATAGTTTCCTTTGAAACGGGGATAACTGCGGCTGACTCCTATGACTGTTATGAAGATAAAATGAGTTAACATTTGTAATGTACTTAGAATAGTGTTTGACCGATGAAATTAACAACTGGCATTAAGGATGGTCATCAGCATCATTGCCATCACCTCTTAAGAAATTCAAGTTACCGGGACACAGTCTAGTAGCCCCTCTAAATCAGAGTGGCTACAAAACGAGCCTAAGACTGCATTCTAACATCTGGCTAGAGCAGTGGTTCTCAACCTTCTGGCCCTTTAAATACAGTTCCTCATGTTGTGACCCAACCATAAAATTATTTTCGTTGCTACTTCATAACTGTAATGTTGCTACTGTTATGAATCATAATGTAAGTATCTGATATGCAGGATGGTTTTAGGCGACCCCTGTGAAAGGGTCCTTCAACCACCAAAGGGGTCGCGACCCACAGGAGGAAACTGAGATGCCCAGGTGGTGTGTAGAGAGAGGTTTTGTGGAAAATACCATCTAATTGTATTTGTTGTTGTTGTTGTTGTTGTTGTTATTAGGGGAGAGGGGTTCTTTCCTATCCTCAGGCAGTTTCCACCATTGCTGCCCTGTGCCTTCTCAGCTGAACACATGAGGGGAGCCCTGTGCACTTAACTCTCTGTGTCCTGTGAACAGAGACCACCTTGGTCTGTCAGCTCTATCTCCTCAAAACAGGAATTCCAGCCCGCTCTGCCTTGCTGCCCCTCCTTGCAGCCTGGCTGAATGTCTCCAGGCAGTCACCCCTGTAACCATAGGGTGCACTTCATATGTGACTGCCCCTAACTGCATGGTGTCCAGTTCCTTGCAATCAGGGTTTCATATATTTTGCCCATTTTGTCCTCTTTTGTTTTCACACAGGAGAATAAATCCAGCCCCTGTCACTCCATTCGGCCAGAAATCCGAGGTAATACCTGTTTAATGTTCTTGTCTACCAGTCTGCCACAGGTGTCACTTCTGGGTCTCTTTCTGTTCATTGATCGTTCTCCACGTTATTGGCAATATTTTTCTGCTTCTTTTTACGCCTGATAATTTTTGATTGGTAAGCAAGCTTGGTTACTTTTATATTTGAGGGGGTGGGGTGCTAGAGATGCTTGTATTCCTGTCAATGCTTTTCAGCTTTGTTCTCACACACAGTTACTGTCCTTGGAAAGAGTTGTATCCTTGCAAATCGTGCTTTTCAAATTTGTCAGGTGGCACCATAGCAGCCTTTTGTAGAAGGGCTGGTTTTGTCCAGCTGTGGAGGCAACAGCTTTCTGCGTAGCTCATGCATTACAAAGTTTTCTAGTTTGACTTTTGGGCACAGAAACTATTCTCAGCCCTGTCTGTGCCTCAGAATTGTTCTATCTTTTCCCTTCATGGAGTTCCTCCCCTGGCTTCCAAGTTTCACCACTGCCATGCACTCCCAGAGACTTAGCTGAAATTTCTAGGGGAACACACTGCAGGGTCTCCGACTCTCCATCTCTCTGTCTGTATACCTGCTGCTCTCCTCTCTAGCACTCTGACTCACAAACTTGAACCACCTACGCCTCCCATGACCCTCAGCTTGTCTTCTCAATTTGGGAAACAGCCAGGCTCCCCACCCTGAGTTGTGGCCTGGAAACTGTCCCAGAGAAGGAGCTAGACCTCCGTGGGGTACCTCAGTTCACTCCCACTCTCAGGGATCAGAGGTCATGGCTCTGAGCTGCCTGCTGCCCAGTATTTGAAAGCTGTCATTTTCTATATCTTGTGTTGTTTTAGTCCTTTCAAGTGTGAGGATAAGCCCATTCCTGTTTCTTCATCTTGCCAGTAGTGGAAGTGTGTTAGATTCTCTTGGAACTCATCATGAACCCCGTGAAACGTGAAGAGAACACGTCACTCAGTGCTACTGAATATGACCAGAGTACCCGACCTGAAGTTTCACAGGTATGTCTGCACTTTACACCTCTGGGCTGGAACAGCGTTCTACAGCCATGGTGCTACATTAGGTCCTTGGAGGGGACTGCTCATAATGAATGACAGTTACGGTCTCTGCTTGTGTTGTTCCAAATATGTTTGGGGACATCACCCACATATGTGTTTCTATAGCATGAAACGATAGTGTATGAATTAACAATGCAAAAAAATGCCTTGTTAGACAGGTTGGATAATCAACATATAGACACTTAATATTAGAAATATAGGCAGGTCTAAATAGTAACAGAGCTCATATTTACTGAGAAATTGTTATGTACCTGGAATTATGCTTGTCACTTCCACTGGATTATCTCATTTAACATTAAATGCAACTCTCTGTGGTACATGTTATCACCATCCTTTCTTTACAAATGAAAAAACAACAACAACAGAAACCCACAATGAAACCCAGCTTTCAGAAAGTCACAAAAGCAATGGACTTCAGAGCAAGGATATTGAACCCAGGCAATCAATCAGAGCCCAGTTTTTGACCAGCACACTTTTTTATATAAAATGGGCAAAATGCTAATATTAAACTGAGCCAGACATAAGTGATTTTAGTGTGCAGAGAGAAGAATGCTTATTTATTTGTATATGAATATGTATATTCATTTGTATTTGAATATGTATACCTGTCTGTATATCTAACCAATATTGTGATTTATCGAGCATTTTATTATATTTCTTTAGTGCTGTTGATACCGTATACACAATAGAAACTCAACAGATGTTGAATGGGAATTTTTGAAAGATGATGTTCAAATGTCCAAAAGATGTGTTAAGTATGTCCAGCTTTACCAGTCACTAAACAAATGCAAATTTTAAAAACAGTCACATTAGATGACATTTCATCTACAAATTGGCAGACATTTAAAATGATAATACTGAAATTATTATTATTAAACCACACACTAATTTTGTTGGACAATGGGGGTGAGTTGATGCAACTTTTCTGGAAAGCAGTTTGGCAGTGGATTTGTTGTGAAATACATTTATAAGCTTAGTCTCAGTATTTCCACTGCCAGGAATCTGGCCTAGTGAAATAATCAGATGGGCAGACAGAAATGTTTTAAGTGTAGAACGGTTTATCATATCAGAGTAGTAATCATATGGGCAGACAGAAATGTTTTAAGTGTAGAACTGTTTATCATATCAGAGTAGTAAAATATTGGAAACATTATATATATATATCAAAGAGGAATGGATTAAAAAATTATTGTACTCAAAAGTTTTCTGCAGAAGTGAAAGCATTGGTGGATGGCTTAGTGAAAAATCAACTGTTAGACAACTCAGAATAATATCATTTAAGTGACATAAGACTTATATTAAGTCTCAGGGGAGAAAACAACATGCACAATGTTTATCTCTGGCAATGGACTAATGATTGACATTTTTCTCCATTCTCACTATCCATCATATTATCGATAACTTTTCCAATTATAAGGACATGAAACACTATTATTTAGGGTGATTCTGATAGAAAGTTTCATCTTTTCTTTCTTAAGGATACTGGCACGGAGCAGTCGTGTGCTGGCACACCTGATGATCATTCTCCATCTGACAACAGAGGATGCAGCAGCACCATTGCACTTAAATGCGAAGTGAGTGGGTATGAAACATCTCTTAAAACTCAGAACCCAAATGGTATAATCAGTGAAAGACGTAATTTCACTTTTACTGGGAATAATATATCCTGAAAATTAGACCATAGTGAAAATACAGCATCTGGTGAACTCAATGAGAGTATCTACTCAGCTCTGACAGCTAATGAAAATTTCTGGGTAAGGATGGAGAAGCATTTAAATAAGAACATTAATGCTTATGAAGAGAAAACAATAAGAGGATGTGTAAATTTAGGAATGCCTCTCAAGTGCCTCCCTACAGGTTCTCATTTAAAAATATTTTTTAGTAAAAGAAAGGGGAACAAGAAAGAAAATGATACTTCCTCCACTGGGGAAAATGATCAGCTATTACGCCCATATCGAAATCCCAAGGACGTCGAATGCATTCTTTTTCATGTTCTGGCTATTGGGAAGGAAACAAAGACTATTGTGAAGAGCAGGGAATTTCATGAAAAGTCAAGTACACTTTGTGTCTATGCCTTGAAGGGTGAGACTATCCAAGAAGCCCTGTGTAAGGATGGTCGATTTCGGCCTGACCTGGACCAATTAAAGTGGAAACTCATAGAAAATCATAAGAAGGTTTATGAAAAACAGTCCAGAGTGGAGGACGTATCTGGGAAAACCTTAGAAATGGAAATTCCTAAAAAGCCATCTGGCAAGAAACGTACCCATAAGAAAATTAAGCAGAAGAATGAAAGTGCCACTGGTGAAATCAGTTCCCGGGATCAGATGCCATCTCAGGTCCAGTTTCTCGAACCAGAGGTAGATGGGGAGACTGAAGATGTAGAATACAGCCGAAAAGAAGTTCTCCCACCTCGAAGTCTAGGACATGACATTGAAAACAAAAGACGCCGGACAATTTCCGAAATTAAAGATCATTATCGGAAAAATCACAAAAGAAAATACAGCAAACAAATCTCACTTGGTTGGCAAAGGCCACGTCTGGGTATGCAATCTCTTATTAAGTGGGATATCCAGGAGAAGACAACTGATCCCTGGCTAAAGAATTGCAAAATGTTGAATACAGTTATAATCCAGCAATATCCAAATTTTAGTAATTACGCACTTCATATGAACAAGTTTTTTCAGAAAGAACAGAGGAGAAACAAACTGTCACCAGCTCAACAATTCAACATATATGAAAAGCACTTCGCAAAAGCGACTAAAAATTCTACTACGGTTGCAGCCTATGAGAATCGTATCCAACGTAGTGAGTCAGTTGGGTACATCAGTTGGGACAATAATGGAAACACAGGCAGTGGTACTTGCTCTGTCTTCAATAATGGTTACATTTTCACCTGTCAACATGTTATACAGGAGATGGTGGGAGAAGGCACAGATCCAAGTTTGTGGCCAGATATAATAAGCAAATGTGCAAAGGTAACTTTCACTTATAAAAAATTTCGCCCTGTTCCTGAAGAATGGTTTTTCATTGAGCCATGGTTTGAAGTGTCTGATAACGGTCTGGATTATGCCATTTTAAAACTAAGAGCAAATGGAAATGGATTTCCTTCAGGCCTATTTAAACACATTTCCTCTTTGCCATCTAGTGGTTTGCTTTATTTAATTGGTCAACCAGAAGACCGGGTAAAGGAAATAGACGAGTGTACTGTGATTACTTTAGTGGATCGTGAAAGGAGGTACTCAGACCTTGTTCAATATTCAGAACCCCATGCTTTCTCTATGTTTACCCCAAGGAGTTTCCCACCTGAGGCTTCCCACAAAGATGCACTTAGTTATGATACTTGTTTTTCATGTGCGTCCTCTGGCTCCCCAGTGTTTAATGCAGCTCACCAAGTCATTGCTATTCACTCCTTCGGGAAGTTTTATGAACATGAAGGTAAGGAGTGTGCCCTTATTGAATATGCCTATTCTATGGAATCAATTCTTTGTGATGTTAAACAGAAAAATGAGGCCTTTCATAAATTGTTAACCGAAGAGAAAAATGAGAACCGCGATCAAGAGAAAAATAATAAACAAGAGTCATCACTCCAAAATCATCAGATGGAACCCATGGAACATTAGAAGAAAATATACCAAGAATTTAGAGTATGTGGGGCTGCTTTCTTAAAGTATAATAAATGTGCTTTCTTGATTAAAGAACATTTAGAGAATCGTGTGCATGTACAAAATACATAGTAGAGTTGAAATAAATACTGACATTCTTTCTCATTGGCTTAAAAAAAATGGAAACAATCTTAAGCCTCAGTTAAAATATGCATCTTCCTTATATACATACAAAGACTCTGGTATTAGCCACCCTAAACACCACCCTGGTAAAGTGATTCTTGTTCTGTGTGCAACAAGTTAATGGGGAAACACACCTACAAGGAGCTTAGTGAAATGATGGTCCTTAAGTTATGTTCATTCCCAGGGCACATTCTCTCCCCAGAGATGCCTGACAATTTCCACAGCACCATTCTCTACTGCGTCTTGCCCTTCCTAACTTTTTCAATTTCTACAAAGGCAATCGGCAAGTCCCCTCAGACAATAATTTGCTCTCCACTTTTACATACATGTTGCTACCATCAGTTTTTTCCCTAACGTTTTTCTTACTATTTTTACAATTTGGCTCTGAAAGGGTGCTCTCTGCACACCCCACCCAGCACCCAGAATCAAATCAGTGATGGCAGTTCTCAGTGTATTTTTTACATTAGGTCTGAAAGATCAGACAGAGGGCGAAAACCGAGAAGGACCTGCCGGGCTGTCCCGCAAGGAGAGAACAGCAGCACATGCAGAGGTGAACACGCCTTTTGAGGGGCAGAATGGGAAAAAATGGGGGCTTAGTGTACTCAGCACACGGTGATTGGTGGCTTAATGTATGGTCCACATAGGAACAAGGTCTTAGGCTATTTGGCAGGTGTGGATTGGTGGTCCAATGTATAGTCCATATAAGGTACATGGTTAGTCACTCAGGTACTTCCAGGCTGCAGGTTACATCATACTCTGCCCACCAGTTGGGGAAAGGGAGGATCTATCAAGGTCAAGTTAGGAAAAGTTTTCCCCATTATCCCACCAACACGACCAACTTTTACATAAACACCTATTTTTCTTCTCTAAGTTACATAAGAGTTGTCACCATCATCACCTACCAATTACCTCCTCCCCCTCTTTGACCAACTGCTCTAACATGGCACCCAGTACTGAAGGCATCTGCTCTTCTTCTGGTTCTTAAACAGTAAGATGTTTCCTTGAGCCGCTTGCAAAGCACTCTCTGATCATCTGTTGGGAGGTGCCTGACTGTGGAGTCCTCCATAGGAACCCTCTAGGAAGGTGCATCCTGGACACCAGGAGTGCGGCGCTGGCCTCGCCCTTCCTCCTGCTGGGCACCTTCTGCTGTGCACCAGCCCCTCCGACAAGTTGGCTCATTTGCCTGCGGGAAAGTGGGAGGCAGAGTGGGGGTCCCCAAGTCTCACTAGACCTCAGCTGTCTGCTTTGGGGCCACTCTGTCCTACGGGAGTTGTTGAAGCGCAGGGCGCGAATGGACACCCGCGGGAGCTGGATTTTCTCCAGCGGCCTCAGGTCTGGCCGGGATGCTCGTCCCACCGCAGCTGCCCACCTCGCGGCGCCTGAAGGCATCGCCCACCGGGCACAAAGCACACGGGGCGGCGGCGGTGGAGGCGGGGGAGCTGTGACAGGGCACACAAAGCAATTCTGGTCGCCTGGAGCACTGTTCCCGCTCAGTGCAATCTGTTCCCGCCAGGAAATCCAGGATCCCCTGGCTCCTCCCACGTCCTCCCCGCCCTGGCTCAGCTTCTCTGGTGACTACAATGGACCCAGAAGGGCAGGGAAGCGATGGAGGGACAGGATTGCGAAAGTCTGTCACTGAACGTCGAAGCTGGCTGTGGACCAAGTTGCGAAAGACGCAGTGGGACGCAGCAGGACCCTAGTGATAGCTAGGGCTGCTGCGCGGGCCGGTCCCTGGACATCTAGAAACTCCCCAGTCCTCCCTGGACTTCTGGAAACTCCCCAGTCCGCGCGCCCTTTCTGGCAAGCCTTTTGGCGGCAGCGACCTGGCCTTCTATTGGCCACAAGCTGTGTCCAGTGAGAAGGGCGGGCTTTCTAACTTCCTGTGGGGTGGCAGTTCAAGGGAGAGCCAGCTGAGTGCCATTTGCAAAGCTCCACTCCCAGTGCAGCGGTCACTGGCACGGTTGGGGCAGATCCTCTGCTTCTGTGAGTGTTTCTTTTGCATTTGGGTGGGGCCTGGAGGTCTTAGGGGTATGTCGGTATGGAGGGGTGGATGGGCAGCTTTCCATTGTGGGACCCCGTTCCTGCTCCCCACCTTCCAAGCTGAGTGACTTTTACACCTGGGAAGTCACTTGGAGACCGTCTAGGTAGCTGTTCCAACTGCCAGGCTGTGAGCAGCTCCAGAAGTCCTGCATGGTGATCCTGGAGGTGGGGCCCCCTACTTTCCTTGGTCACAAGTTCACAGGGGGGAGGCGATTCACAGGATCAAAGTGTAACCTGAGCCAAGCTCCTTCATTTACAAATGAGGAAACTGAGATGCTCAGCGGGGTGTAGGGAGAGAGTTTGCTGGGAGACACCTTCCAATTTTGTTGTTGTTGTTGTTGTTGTTGTGTGGTGTGGTGGTGTGTGGTGATGGTGGTGGGTGATTCTTCCCCTGCCCTTTAGGGTGGAAGTGGCGGGTGGGCCAAGACGCACAAGACTCCACCGCAGGAACGGGCTGCTTGCTGCCCGGCTTCGGGGCCTTTGGTTCCCTTGGAAGCTGGTGGAGCGTAGGGCGTGGACAGCGCCCTCAGGATCCAAGACCACTGCCTCTGTGGGGTCTGGGGCGATTTTTCCACAGTGGCCCAGCAAGCGTGGCCCGGGATCCTAGTCCCACCACAGCCGCCCACCTTGCAGAGCAGTGCCTGACGCGCCTTGGGGCCGCTCTGGTGCGCTGTTTGCCCCGCTGCTCAGGTCGCTGGGCGCGCTGTTCTGCTCCTCGCCATTGCCAGGCAATCAGAGCCCCAGGAAAGCTCAGGGCTCCGGCTCCTCCCACACCCTCCCCGCGGCTCCCGCACGCCCTGCTCAGCTCCTAAGGCCGGGACACAGGACTCTGGGCGTGGGGATGGGGATGGGGGTGAGGAAGGGTCGGAGGGGCACAATTGCTCAAAGTTTGTCCAGAAAACGGAAGCTGGCGGTGGACCGAGAGAGGGAGCGAGTGGGTGGGCGGGACGCAGCGGGATCTTCCTGATGGCTAGGGCGGCTGCGCGGGCGTGTCCTTTCCCCCGGCGGCGGCCACTACCTCGCCGTCTATTGGCCAGAAGCGCGGGCTTTTTGCGCGGGCTTTTCCACTTACAGGCTGCGCGGCAGAGATTCTTTGGACAGCTCGCTGAGCGCCACCCCTGCAGTTGCTGTGAGTCCCAGTGCAGCGGTCACCAGCACCTTTGGGGCAGACTCTCTGCTTCTGTGAGTGGTTATTTTGCATTTGAGTGGGACCTGCAGTTTTTAAGGGGTGGTTGACATGGAGGTATTTTCTGGGTGGGTGGTTGACTAGGAATGGATAGGCAGCTTCCCATTGTAGCAACCCCCTGCCAGCTCCCTGCCTTCAAGGTCAAGAGTTTTATGCCTTGAAAGTCACTTGAAACAGTGCAGGCTACTGTTCCAACAGACCAGCTGTGAGCAGCTGGGGTGGGGTGGGGTGGGGTGGGATGTATGTTAAAGTGCAAATTGCAGAACTGCATTCCAGAAGTGCTGCCTGGTGATTTTGGGGGGATGGGGAAATCAACTACCATTCTTTGTCATAGATCCGCAGCTGGGAGTTCACAGGCACAAAGTTTAATCTGAGCCAAGTTCCTTAATTTACAAATGAGGAAACGGAGATGCCCAGGTGGTGTGTAGAGTGAGGTTTTGTGGGAAATACCACCTAACTGTATTTGTTGTTGTTGTTATTATGGGAGAGAGGTTCTTTCCTATCCTCAGGCAGTTTCCACCATTGCTGCCCTGTGCCTTCTCAGCTGAACACCTGAGGGGAGCCCTGCGCTCTTAACTCTCTGTGTCCTGTGAACAGAGACCACCTTGGTCTGTCAGCTCTATCTCCTCAAAACAGGAATTCCAGCCCGCTCTGCCTTGCTGCCCCTCCTTGCACCCAGCCTGGAATGTCTCCAGGCAATCACCCCTGTAACCATAGGGTGCACTTCATATGTGACTGCATGGTGTCCAGTTCCTTGCCAATCAGGGTTTCATATATTTTGCCCATTTTGTCCTGTTTTGTTTTCACACAGGAGAGTAAATCCGGCCCCTGTCACTCCATTTGGCCAGAAATCCAAGGTAATACCTGTTTAATGTTCTTGCCTACCAGTCTGCCACAGGTGTCACTTCTGGGTCTCTTTCTGTTCATTGATCATTCCCCACGTTACTGGCAATATTTTTCTGCTTCTTTTTATGCCTGATAACTTTTGATTGGTAAGCAAGCTCGGTTACTTTTATATTTTGGGGGGTGCTAGAGATGCTTTTAGTCCTGTCAGTGCTTTTCACCTTTGTTGTCACTCACAGTTACTTTCCTTGGAAACAGTTGTATCCTTGCAAATCTTGCTTTTCAAGTTTGTCAGGTGGCACCATAGCAGCCTTTTGTAGAAGGGCTGATTCTGTCCAGCTGTGGAGGCAACAGCTTTCTGAGCCTCAGTAGCTCATGAATTATAAAGTTTTCTGGTGTGATCTTTGGGCACAGAAACTATTCTCAGCCCTGTCTGTGCCTCAGAATTGTTCTATCTTTTCCCTTCATGGAGTTCCTCCCCTGGCTTCCAAGTTTCACCACTGCCATGCACTCCCAGAGACTTAGCTGAAAATTCTAGGGGAACACACTGCAGGTCTCCAAGTCTCCACCTGTCTGTCTGTATAGCTGCTGCTCTCCTCTCTAGCACTCTGACTCACAAACTTGAACCACCTACGCCTCCCATGACCCTCTGCTTGTCTTCTCAATTTGGGAAACAGCCAGGCTCCCCACCCTGACTTGTGGCCTGGAAACTGTCCCAGATAAGGAGCTAGACATCTGTGGGGCTACCTCAGTTCACTCCCACTCTCAGGGATCAGAGGTCATGGCTCTGAGCTGCCTGCTGTCCAGTATTTGAAAGCTGTCATTTTGTATATGTTGTGTTGTTTTAGTCCTTTCAAGAGTGAGGATAAGCCCGTTCTTCTCTCTTCATCTTGCCGGTAGTGGAAGAGTGTTAGATTCTCTGGCACTCATCATGAACCCCGTGAAAGGTGAAGAGAACACATCACTCAGTGCTACTGAATATGACCAGAGTACCCGACCTGAAGTTTCACAGGTATGTCTGCATTTTCACCTCTGGGCTGGAACTGCTTTCTACAGCCATGGTGCTACATTGGGTCCTTTGAGGGGACTGCTCATAAAGAATGGCAGTTATGGTCCCTGCTTGTGTTGTTCCAAATATGTTTGGGGACATCACCCACATATGTGTTTCTATAGCAAGAAACAATAGTGTATGAATTAACGGTGCCAAAAAATGCCTTGTTAGACAGGTTGGCTAATCAACATATAGACACTTAATATTAGAAATATAGGCAGGTCTAAATAGTAACAGAGCTCATATTTACTGACAAATTATTATGTATCTGGAATTATGCTTGTCACTCGCTATGGATTATCTCATTTAACATTAAATGAAACTCTCTGTGGTACATGTTATCACTATCTTTTCTTTACAAATGAAAAAACAACAACAACAGAAACCCACAATGAAACCCAGCTTTCAGAAAGTCACAAAAGCAATGGACTTCAGAGCAAGGATATTGAACCCAGGCAATCAATCAGAGCCCAGTTTTTGACCAGCACACTTTTTTATTTAAAAATGGGCAAAATGCTAATATTAAACTGAGCCAGACATAAGTGATTTTAGTGTGCAGAGAGAAGAATGCTTATTTATTTGTATATGAATATGTATATTCATTTGTATTTGAATATGTATACCTGTCTGTATATTGTGATTTATTGAGCATTTTATTATATTTCTTTAGTGCTGTTGATACTGTATACACAAGAGAAACTCAACAGATGTTGAATGGGAATTTTTGAAAGACGATGTTCAAATGTCCAAAAGATGTCTTAAGTATGTCCAGGTTTACTAGTCACTAAACCAATGCAGATTTTAAAAACAGTCAAATTAGATGACTTTTCATCTACAAATTGGCAAACATTTAAAATGATAATACTGAAATTATTATTATTAAACCACACACTGATCTTGTTGGACCATGGGGGTGAGTTGATGCAACTTTTCTGGAAAGCAGTTTGGCAGTGGATTTGTTGTGAAATACATTTATAAGCTTAGTCTCAGTATTTCCACTGCCAGGAATCTGGCCTAGGGAAATAATCATATGGGCAGACAGAAATGTTTTAAGTGTAGAACTGTTTATCATATCAGAGTAGTAAAACATTGGAAACATTATATATATATATCAAAGAGGAATGGATTAAAAAATTATTGTACACAAAAGTATCATATTGTGTTTTCAAAGGTTTTCTACAGAAGTGAAAGCACTGTTGGATGGCTGAGTGAAAAATCAACTCAGAATAATATCATTTAAGTGACATAAGACTTATATTAAGTCTCAGGGGAGAAAACAACATGCACAATGTTTATTTCTGGCAATGGACTAATGATGGACATTT